TTATTCATTATTCTTTAATTCAGACTTTACATCCATAGTTAAACATCGTCAACTTAACTAATAATAATATAAATACAAGGGGAAAATAAACCCCATATGATCCTTAGAAATTAAGGATTAACATAAAGAAGTTCGTTCCATCTTTTAGAGAGCATAGAACTTTCAAAAAATCCATTTACAGAACGATCTAAAGGGTTCAGACAAGTAGAAATCGCTTTAAAAAGCTAAAGATTGATTTTCTCATAAATTCTTGGAAAGATAATAAATTATTATTAACAAATAGTGCATTAGCACTACAGTATCTCGGTTGGCGTAACAGTTTTCTTTAAATATTGTTATAACATACCCTCAGTGTGTTCATAGATGAAAGCCTATACATAGACCAGAGCGTAGAACAATAAAAACTCATACAGAAAGAACGAAATAATATACATTTGACTTCATCACTGCAATTGCTAAATTTTCTACAGATTACATTTCCACGTATACTCAGTGATCTAACTTGTCTTTTGATATCAAGCTCATCATTGAGGTCACAGCATATTATGTGACCAAGATATGATACGGATTCAACATATTTGAGGTTTTTGTTATTGAGATATGTTTTGGGAGTACTACAAGACTTCATACTTTTAGGAATAAACCTCATACACACTGATTTCTTGTCATTGTATATAATATCATGCCCATTGGCGTAAATTTCACATATTTGCACAAGATGCTGCAACCCGTCCATCGACGGAGCCAACAAAACCATGTCATCGGCGTAACTTAAATGATTGAATTTCATTTCAGCATATTCACATCCATATCTAGAGTTATTAAGAATAATATTAAGGTCATTCATATAGATATTATATAGGAAAGGAGACAAGACTCCACCTTGCCTCACTCCATTTGAAACTTTAAACACTCTGGAGGTATTAAGACCCCATTGGACTGAGAACCTCTGCTTATCATACCATTCGCGTATGATTCTAACAACAAATAAAGGAACGTTTTTCTTAATTAATTTGTCAAAAAGTGACCAGTGGTTCACACGGTCAAAAGCTTTTACTCGAATCTAAGAAACAAGTATAAACTGGGCTACCATGCCGTTGATAATATTCAATAATTTGTTTAAGAACAAAAACGCACGTCTCAGTGGAGGGATTGGGCTTAAAAGCAAACTGATGATAGTCAGTTTCAAGATTATCTTTACAGAAATCGACCAGTATGAGCTCGAACAGTTTGGACAACACAGAGGCTAATGCAATTGGACGATAGTTATTTGTTGACGTGACGTCACCTAACTTATTCTTTACAATCGGAATAAGGACAACTTCAACAAAGTCATTAACAATGTACCCATGCACAAGCAAAGCGTTAAAACAGAAACTTAATAAAACATTAATTTTTCCACCAGCATACTTAAGATGTTCGCTATCTATGCCATCTAAGCCAGGCGATTTTCCTAAAGACAACTTTGAGATAAAATTCTGGATAATTTGAGGAGTTATATGATTATCCTTATAATGATCATTTATGTAATTTAGCTTATCGTTAACATGCTGCTTTTGATCAGTTGATGTGACACAGTTGAACAGATGCTCATAATGGTCGGCCCAGATATTACATATGTTAACATTGCCCCTGACTCCATTAATTACTTCAGAGGTGTATGATTTATGCGCATTAGTACGTTTAACGGATTTCCAAAATTTATCATACTTTTTATTGTTTAGAGAGTTTGCCATACATTGCAGGTTGAGGTCCATGGCTAAATGGAAAAAATGATTAGCCTTTATCTAGTGATAATTCTCTTAGGTTTTCACACCTACACATAAACAATCCTTGACTGATGCACATTTATTTTATAATGTTATGCCATAAATTATATAGTGGGCTACGAATAATGTTTTATTTCATGATTTTGAACATTTTCACGCTTTTCCCTTTAAAATTGGCCAAGTACTTACGAAGATATGATATTAATCATTGTTGTTGGTAAGGTTTTGGTCAGCTATACAATATAATACACTACACCCCTCTGCTGATAACCATTCAAGCAAGGCCTGACTCATCAGCTAGACAGAGAAACGTGGTACGAAATGAATAGAAAAGCGTTCATGAAGTGGTACGGTGTTTTGAGTCGATAGGTCTAAGCCTAGGTATTTTTACACAGTTTTGAAGAAGATGGAATTGTTTAATTTAAAAGTGTTCGTTCTGATTGACACTTTTTAACCAGAATAGCAATGGGTCAAAACAGCAATGAACCAAATAATAATAATAATAATAATAATAATAATAATAATAATAATAATAATAATATTGGGCGAAACACAATATAAAAGCAGTAGACATTTAAATAATTTAAAATTAAAATAGTGACAAAATGATTATATAATGACATTAATTTAAAAAAAAAAAATATACCCGATATGTCATAAAAGTTAATTGCCGTTTTGAACTGAGACACTCCTTAAAGTACTGATCGACTTTGAGGGCTGCAGAGTGATGATCATTTGGTACATTGATGAAGAATGTCGATGAATTTCTTGAAAAGAAATTTCCAGGGTGTGTTTTGAAAACAATTTGGGAACATTTGAACTATTTGAAATGCTAGAGCGTTTAGAGGTATTCTAACCAATGATGAGACTTTCAGCAGGTTTATGCTTTGAACAAATGCCTGTGTTATGTATTATAGTAGCGGCCTAGCAGCAATGCCTGGATAAGGTGATCCGTGGGTAGAAATAATATTATAAATAGTACTAGGCCTAGGTAATAGGCTTAGCCTAGTTAGCTCTAGTAGTAGTAGGTCTAGGCATAGGAGGATAGGAAAAGGAGGAAGGCCTTTTCCACAAATTATCGGTATACATTTTGAAGTGATGACAAACATTGCGAATCAGCGGTGCGTAACCAACAGAAATAAGATAAGCTTTTGGGCTGATTTTCTGACATCATGTTATTTAAAATAT